CCAACATAAAACTTTTCCTAATACCATCTTCATTATTATTTCACCGCAATAATTTCATTGATACTTCCGCACCTTGTTGAGAATAAAATTTACAACATTTTCCATTTGACAAATTACTCTTCAATATTGTTTCGATTTTTTGTCAATAATTTTATTTATATTGTGATGATAAATTAGGATTTATTGTTGTTGAAACAAAAAAAATAAGGAAGGCAAAGGTTGATGTAGAAAAAGGTTTGCTTGTTAAATGGAAAAGTTTTATTTTTGGTTGAAGTTGATGAATGAATTGTCAATTGAGTAGGATTTGAATAAAGAGTAGAAATTAATTTGTGTAGATGCTGTGAATTAAGTGACATCTACCCTTGTTTATGATTGCTAACTGTATAGATTAGTCTTATTTCGATAAACCTAGGAATAAGAGTTGTGTTTTGACTATTACAGAAGCTAAGTTGGTGATTGGTTTCGTTTAAGTTTCAACTAGGGATGAAGTTGATGAGTTGCTGGACTAGATGGCCTGAACCTCACGTTATGCTGCAATTATACTCAGAAACATTTGATTTCTGGAAAATATCATAAACTTTCAAGTTTATAGCTTCAAAAAACATCATTTCATCATGTTTACATGACCTTTTCAAAGAATCTTGAAGTATTATGATTGATCAAACTTTTTAAGTACAAATTATGTCAAGCATCACCTCAAAAACTCAAAAATAAGCACTCATCATAACAACAAAGTATCACTTTGCATCAAAATTTACAACAAAATCTGCAAACAAAACTTCAACAACAAAGTCAAATAAATATCATTTATGTCGAGTCTCAATTTCCTAACAATTTATTCACATTATATCAGGTCAATTTATTTGAAAGACTCTCTCATTCATAAACTTTCGAGTTTTTTCAAACAATTTTCATAATAAAATAAAAAGGAAGCAGAAATTGCAAAAAAAAACTTGACCAGTGAGTTTAGAAATATGAAAGTTTTATACATTTTTATGATGCACATGCTCACACTGGAAATGTGATCAAATTCAATTTTTATGCTTTTGAGAACTGTGCAGAAATGGAGCATGTGTTGAAGTTGTGGACACTTGAATAGGAATTATGAAGGATTTCTGCTTTGATGGCTGTTTAAAATTGGTAAAAGCTCTGATTTAAAAGCAGAGCTTTAAAAGTTTAAAGCTTTGTAGAGAAGCGTGGCTTTAAAAGCTCAATTCTCTGTAGAAAAGCGTTGCTTCAAAAGCTTAAGTCATTTTTATGACATTTTTGACTTTTAAAAGAGATAAAATCTCTACTTTCCCATAAATCTCAGTATCGCATCCTCTAAACTTCAAACAAAATATCTCAAAAATCCAAAAAATACTCAATTTAATGATCAAAACGAAAATTACATGATTTCAGGCTTCAGACTCTTGTTTACTATTTCACTGAATGATTTAAGAATGTTTCTTAACTTCATCAATCTTTTCACACTAAAGAAGCAGCACTAAAATAAAGAAAATGAGAAAAGATTATTATGAAATGCTATAAGTTTCATATTTCTCATGTTTTGAAGGATAGATGTTGATCTGCTTAAAACTTATTTTTCTTTTAACCAAGAAGTAAAAGTAGATGAATAAAAAATAAACTTTTATTTGTAAGAATATAACTTGTGACAGTAAGAAAGAGAAGAATAGAAGGAAATTGTAAGAAGATGAAAAGTTTTTAAAATAAGCTTTTTGAAAAATCGTAAGTTGATCTATTTTGCTTTAAGTTTTGTTATTTTAAAAGAGTTAAGAGATGAGGAAGAGTTGTAAAGATTTGTCAGGATGTCTGATGTTGATTTTTAAGGACTATCTAGGTTTTATTGACACTAGCACGAGAGAATTATCATTTACTAGCTCTTTTAGAAAGTCAATACTAGTCAAAGTTGACATTTGAAACTCAAAACTTCTAATTCTTCAAAAATGCGCTTTACAACTTCAAAATTTACATTCAGCACAACAGTTTCATTTCTCTAATTTAACCTCATCCTTTGACTATCCTGTTGAAGCACCACCATAAAGAAACGTAAGTAACAAAAGAGAATGAAAGAAAGAAAGAATTTTACAGGAACTGGATTCAGTGTCGAAAAGTTTTATTTGTAAATTTAAAAGTTTCCATTTTATAGCAACAGTAGAAAAAAAAATCTGTCTTCCTTTATTTCTGAGTAAGCAAGCACATAACAACAAGGACGATAGTTGTTAGAAGCAAATTGTGTTTTAAAATGCAAAGACACTTTACTTGATGCTGAATAATGAAACTTATTATGGCAATAAATGTTTACCTGATTGTAAGTGAATGAATTTTAAACGATGCAGTTTAAAGAATTTAATGCATAAGTCATTGGGTGGAGATGACAATTTAAAGAGTCTAGATGCTCGTCAAAACCATGTCGTTACTCAATAGAACAGATGAAGAGGATTAAATTTCTTGTTCGTTGTTTCCTTTGTTGAGTATTTTTACATTATTTAATTTTAAAAAGACACAATGATACTTTTATGATAGCATTATTATGTTGTCGGAGATAAAAATATACACATTCGACTAATGTATGTTATTACTAGCGATGAGGTTCTTTGTGTTTTGCAACTTTCATTCAGAATTTTCTAATCTCGCTTTAGGACTTTCCAATACTTTAAATTTCCTTCTCAAAAATCTCTTACATTTTAAAATCCTTACAGACAATTCATGAAAATTATAGCAACAATCCCTATTATTGAAAATCGAATCAGCTGGGAACAAAGAAAGAAATTTTATCGCTCATACAAGCAGAAATAATAAAAAAAGAGAGAAAAGAAAACTCGAGAAGAACTTTTTTTTATTGAGTTTTCTATTTATTTCTTATGTTCCTTTATACTTTAATTACATTTTCCTCATAATCAAGACTATAAAAGAGGAACTTCTTATTCATTTCTACCCCTCAGTTTGAGAGTATGAATGTTGAGAAGTAAATGAATGATGCGGTTTAAAATGAAAGTGACTAATAAACGAAGGAAATGCAGGAAAATGGAAAAAATTATGAAAATTACTTGCTGGAAAAAAAGTTTTTCGTACTTTTATGTTCTGAACGGATTAAAAGTTTTTTTTTGAATTTTTTAATCCAATTATTTTGCAAGATAGTTTTGTGTTGAAATATTTTTGAAAGTTTTGCTGGAGTTCTATCTTACTTTGGGAGTTGTTCATAAATGATGTCAATAATATACGAAATTTTAGAATATCCTAGCATCATAATTCAATCAAAATTCAGTTTAAACTCTCATTTCAGCCTTCAAAATATCTTTAAATATAATTTTTACATCCACCAAGTCAAAAATTCTATTAAAATCCATTCATCTTTACAAGCTTAGCTGAATAAAATGTCAAAATAATTTTCATCATCAATTTTAATTATGCTATTTAAATGTCAACACGTAGGATGTTGAAAACTTCACTCATTTCGTTCGCAAAAAACAATTTTAAGTATTTTTATTCAAAATCTATTAAGCATGCTGCATACAGCATTTTGAGGAGTTAAATTGAAATTTTTTAATTAAACCATTTATACGTGGAAATCTTTCCCCACCTCTTGACATTCGTGTTGTGTAGTTCCTAGAATACGGATGAAGGTTTCAAAAGCAGCAGCTCAATGATGTCACATAATATGTAAAATGTTTATTTGCCTTTTGTTATTTTTGAGGTGAAACTTCATTGGTTTCAGGAAAAATTCACGTTTTATTTGAAGTTGCTTAATGAGATTTTGGTAAGAGAATTAATTCATGTTTGGGAATACTTGCCATGGTATTTGGTTTTTGACAATGTTGCTGTAATTCTGGAACTGACATATATTGAAATTGTTTGTTAAATTATTGATAATTAAAGTTGTTTTGTGGTGGAATGTTAACCGTTTGGTACTTGATTATACATATAAGTGACTCAGCGGTCTTGGGTTCGAATCTCAAAAGATTAAGTTGTCCTTTTTTGAATCGAATGATCTAGCAGTGAAGTGTAGTAGGCAGTGGCCATTAATCTTGAAGATCCAGACCATCTTTCTATTATTATTTCAATTCTTGCTGAAAGCTACCAGACGCAAAGCACCCAAGTCTCTAAAATTTCTCATTTTGCATTCAAATTTCCTGAAATTAAATTCTCCCCAAATTAGGTTTAAAATAGAAACACATTTTCCTCAATTTCCTCAGCTCTTTTCCATTCTTCAAGTTCAAAATTTTCTTTATAATTTGATAAAAGAAATGTTTTCCTTACAAAAATAAAAGAATTGGGCATCAAAGAGGCTAACGAAATTTAAGAGGATCAAAAAATAATTTTCATTTTTCCTTCGCTTTGTGTTGCATTTACCGAAAAGAAAGGAAAAAGCGACGAGAATAAGATGAAGAGGAAGGAAAACATGAGATGAAAAAAAAAATTAAGCTTAACTTTATATTTGATGAAAGGGTTTATGGTGTTTGGGAAGAGGAAGAAAATGAAGAAAGTTTTGAAGGCTAAAAACTTTGGATGTAACATGAAAATTACATGACCGAGAACATTTTAAGTGAGCTTTTCTGGGAGAGTTGGAGAAGCTTTTTGGGGTGTTTTGTGATTTTTTTTCCAGGAGTTGTGAGGATTAAACTCTGTGGTTATATTGACATGTAATCTATGAAATCACAAAAATATTGATTGTTGGTAAGAATCAAACCTACGACCTTACAAAAGATGGGCTGTTGAAGGCTCGGTTGGTTTCTTAGCTACAGAGGCTTAACTTGAGCACGGTCAAACTAGCCTAAATGTAATTTGATATTTAAGATTCTCCTGGGTTTAGTATCAATATAGTCACTTTATGTGCAGCATAGATATCATGATAGTCGCAAAGTCAAGTCGTGCATTAGTCAATCAACCTTGCTAGTCTAATGAACCTAAAAATGACACAAAAAATACCCAAAACTATACAAAATAAGAACCATAAACTGCGCTCTAATTCCCACATCATAATTTTCTCAATGACTGCACTTTATTACAACTTTATCTGCTTCATCTTTTCTCTCACTCTGTTTTTGGCAAGAAAATACATTAAGAATTTTATGGGATAATAGATTAGCAACAAGAACTAAGAAGGAAGAAGGAAAGTTTCATGTCATCAAGAGAGAATGAAAATTGATTTTTGTGTTCAGCTTGCTGTTCGCTTTAAAGGAACTGTGAGAGCAAATGTCTAATCCATTTTATTTATTAGACACAAAAATATTTTGTTCCTGTATTCCCACAACTTCCTCTTGTTCCTTCTGTACAATCTCACGCAATCGCCTTATATCAATATCAGAGAATGCAGAAACTTTTTTTAACGGTCGTACATTTGATGCCAAGCTCCGAAATGAGAATGCTGGTGGATTTGTAAAAACTTGAACTTTATCAGATGCACTCGTTTGAAGTGGAACAGTCTTTGGCGTTGCCAATTCACCCAAGCGCTTCTTTGTCATTCCCTTTGGTTTTTGCTTACTGTCAGTTTTTGTTAGTGAAACTGTTGAGGTTTTTCCACTCGTCTCTGACTTTTCGGGCTGCAATAATTTTTTACTCTTTTTCTTGTACAATTTTATTGGCTTCTCGGATGACTCCTCAAAACGTGGCGCTGCTGTTAAGAAAGCAACGGGACGTCCAGTTTTTGTACTAAATAAATTTTTCTTTTTTATCATCGTATTAAAACGTATTTCACGTTGAATTGATGATGGATATAAATCTTCACAACTTGCAGATGATTTTAAACGAAACGAAATCGGCTCACGATTGATAACAGACTTTTTTGGTAGTGATATATCGTCAACTGTCTGCTTATCATTTTTCATTTCTATTAAAACACATATGAGGGAAATTAGTAAGGAGTGTGAGTTGTAGGATCGAGCTGAACATTTTTTAAATATGCACTAATAAAATAATAAGGAATATAAACTGCTTACGCTTATGAGTCAAAACTAGACTTTATGTCAGGTTATGCTCTATGCCATACGTAGGTTTAGGGTAAGCAAAATCTCAGGTTGAAGCCCTAGACATAGCATTGTATTACAAACTTAGTCTCAAATCAAAATTAAAATTAGTGATCATCAAAATCCACTATTAATTGAACTTATTATGCCAACTTAATTCCAAAAATTCTTCAGCCCGACTCACCAAACCACACCAAATCTCAAAAGCAACTCACCAAAACGATGACGAGGACGACCTTCATCATGAATTTTGTGTATTGTGCGATCTTTTGTCTCAGCCATACGACATTGACATGACAAATTATGAAGATTATAACGTCCTGGTTCCGGTGTATTTCGTTCCTTATTAAATTCCATCACCCTCACAGGAACTGTCGTATGAGGATAATATAATATGGGATTGTCCTTCGTTGACTTCTTTTTTTCACACGCTGTCAGCTTTATTGAAAAATTTTGTGGATAATATTTTGTTGGTGGTGGAATTCCATCATCTTTTATTTCCACAAATCGTGGTCCTTTAAAAAATTTATTTTTATAAGAATTCGAAGGCTTCGTTCCATCATCAATTTGTGATGGTAGATCATAAAAGTCTGTCTCACAGCGTTCATTTTCAGGCTTTGGTGCGTGATGATTTTTGACAGTTTTCTCATCGCGTTCGACTGTGAAACACTGATAAGGCCCACGCTTTCCCATCTTCTTAAGTGATTTTGTAAAGTCACTGAGACAATAGACATTTGGTGGCAATTTCCATTCCCATGATTTGTCAACAATCGAACGATCAAGTTTTGGTATTTTTTGTGGCTTTCTCGATGCTTTTGCGAGGGATTTTAATGTGACACGTGGACGGTGTCCTCGTATGACTTGTTTTGGTTCTGCGGCTATTTTTTTCGAACATCCACGTTTTACGAACAGCGACAGATATAAACAAAAAAGAGAATTTTTTTTGATTTATTTAATTGATTTTTTATGTGTAAGAAATGGCAGTCATAAAATATTAATGTTTGCCATTTAGCATAACGGAGCATATACAAGACTTTATCATTGCTTTCACGCTAAATAACATGATAAATTGCATTATTATTTATTTCACTTTAATTTGTTAAAGCTTTTTCACCAGAAGCGTGATCATAATTTTTAAAATGACAAATAAATTTTGTCTGTGAGGATTGAGGAAGATTGTGGATACTTGCTTGAAGGTTAAGGGAGTTAAAAGTTGAACTGTAAGTTTTAAATTTGTGTTTTTAAATTGTTTACTAGCTTTTGGATTATTGCAAATAATTTTCTGGGTTTGGAACTAGTAAGTCACTAGAGAAGTCCAAAAGCTCTCGAAAGCTGAAGATTCGATGCCAAACATCCATTAATTTTTTTGAAGAACTCAATGAGTCTTGTGGTAAAAATTGAACTATCGCATTTATGACATCTTAAAGTGATTGAAAGTTTATGATGTGTGGAAATCTTCAAGACACCAGATACTATAAAGAATTTTGTGGCAACAGACCCACTTCTGCTAATTTAATTTTAGCTTGATTCAACTTCCTTTTAGGAAGATTTTTAAAAACATTTTTGAATCTGACATTGAAATTGATAAATTTTAAAGGAACAGAAGCAAAAAAGAAACAAAAAGTCAACAGCACATAGCGTTCCCAAGTGGTCACCCATCTAAGTACTAACAACGCTCGACGTTGCTTAACTTCGGTGATCGGACGAGAACCGGTGTTTTCAACGTGATATGGTCGTTGACAAAGGTTTTTATGGCTAGTTCCACTTATTAAGAGTAATTTTTTTGCATAACGTCTTGAGTAAACGAGCCTTAAATAACAAAGAGATAGATTTTCTAATAATAAATGACGTTTTAAATGTTGAGGATCAGCTTAAGCTTCTTATGAATGCAACCTTACTTACTATTTAGATCCTAGCGAGACTAACTTGCAAATTGCTAGTCTTTCTATTCTACTACTTGCAATTTACTAGTTATTATTAAAACAACTTACTCCAATGTTAGCAAAGAGAACAGAGTCCGTTACAAACAAAAAAATTTTAAAATTTTCGCGCGGTATTTTTTTAAAATTTCAAAATAAGAAAGTCCTTTCTTTTTATTTTTTTAAACTAGCTGTTTTTAAAGCATAAAAATTTAAGGAATGCAATTTCATCACAGTGATTATCTTAATCATAAAAACTAGTAGGAATGTTCACTAAAATTACAAATTACTCGAAAAATAATAATTCACAACGAATTTTTTTAAAAATAAGAATTTCGAAGATTCGATTTTCGAAAAATAAGAACCTCAAAAATTCAAAGTTCGTTTGCTAGCATTGGAACTTACTGTTAGTAAATTACACTTGTTTTTTAATAGCAAATTACTAGCAAATTACCATGTGAAATGTCTGATACGAACAATTCAAGAGTTTCGACCGTTACAGTTTCCAAGAAAACTTGTGAAAATGTCTTATTGTCTGTCTGCCATACAAAATTCGAAGTTTCATACCCTGCAGTTCGAAATTTTCGAAATTCACAAAAAAATAAAAACTTAAATTAAACAAGTTTTGTATGAAATCTAGATGAAACTTTTATGTGGTCGTTTAATGATAAGCATAATATAGCTATATATTTTTTAAAACAATCAAAAACTCGAATAAAATCACTACAATTGTAACGGTTTTTTCAAATTTAAACTTTTCAAACATGCATATTATAATTCCTTTAGACTTTCGATAAGTCTTTCGAACATGAATTGTTCGTATCAGTGAGATGTTTGATCAAATCTGCGGGTGTTGGACATCTGGCAGAAAGTAATTCCTAGGAACCTTATTTTAGGAACTAAAATTTTAAAATGATCACTATGATTTCCTAGTATATACTAGGATTTCCTAAGATAGCTCATTAAATCTTGAAGAAATTTTCTCAAAATCCTAGAAGTTCTTAAGATTCCTAAGTATATTAAATGAATTCGTTAAGGAATTTTCTTACTATCTGCAGAATTAACTAAGGAACCTAAGATTGCTAAGTATATTAAAAGAATTCTTCAAGGAATTTCCTTACTATCTGTAGAATTTACTAAGGATCCTAAGATTGCTAAGTATATTAAAAGAATTCTTTAAGGAATTTCCTTACTATCTGCAGAATTTACTAAGGATCCTAAGATTGCTGAGTATATTAAATGAATTCTTCAAGGAATTTCCTTACTATCTGCAGAATTTACTAAGATCCTAAGATTGCTGAGTATATTAAATGAATTCTTCAAGGAATTTCCTTACTATCTGTAGAATTTACTAAGGATCCTAAGATTGCTAAGTATATTAAAAGAATTCTTTAAGGAATTTCCTTACTATCTGCAGAATTTACTAAGGATCCTAAGATTGCTGAGTATATTAAATGAATTCTTCAAGGAATTTCCTTACTATCTGCAGAATTTACTAAGATCCTAAGATTGCTGAGTATATTAAATGAATTCTTCAAGGAATTTCCTTACTATCTGTAGAATTTACTAAGGATCCTAAGATTGCTAAGTATATTAAAAGAATTCTTTAAGGAATTTCCTTACTATCTGCAGAATTTACTAAGATCCTAAGATTGCTGAGTATATTAAATGAATTCTTCAAGGAATTTCCTTACTATCTGTAGAATTTACTAAGGATCCTAAGATTGCTAAGTATATTAAAAGAATTCTTTAAGGAATTTCCTTACTATCTGCAGAGTTTACTAAGGATCCTAAGATTCCTAGGAATTTTAGTAAAGATATTTACTTTTATGTCCTGTTATGGTAAAGATTTGCAATAAACTAACGAGTGCCTATTAAAAAATTGGAGAAAGTCCTGGTGTTATATATTGTTTTACGCTTCAAAAATATTCGATCGGTCAATAACTCGAAAGAACTGAGCTGATTAAACAAACCCGAGCATGGTTAAAAAGTTTTTCTTCGCCCGAGCAGCCGAACACCCAAACAACCAAACAAAGTGTACTTGGAAGCTACCTTTAAGAAAAAAGTTTCAAAAATGCGTTAAAAGATTTTTAATTACTAAACCTTGTTGAAATTCCTAATTTTTGTACTTTTTCTTTAACTTATTTAATTATTCCTGTTACTTTACGTATGAATTTTCAAGGAATTCCTAGGAATTACTTTCTGCCAGATGACCATGAGCCCAAATCTGCTTAAGTTCGAATCTTACGAAAAATCATCAAAAAATAATTTTTTGCGTCATAAAAAATTTTGTTCTAAATTTGGCATTTGCCATATACTTCACAAGAGCGCGCAGAAATCACCATAATAAGTTCGATCCAAATTTGTATGTTACTTATAATTAATTATTTATCTTACTAGTCAATTAGCAAGCGAAAATGCGGGTCTTTGGCGAAGATTTGAACTTGGATTTTGACTAGTCACTAGCAAGTAGCAAATGAAAAGGGGCCCGTCAAAAATGAATTCTACGTCATCGGAGACCACTTTTAGTCATTTTTTGTGATTTTTTTCCATGAAACTGTATTTTGTTCTTTATTGGTATTATAGAATTCGCCGAGACAAAGAGTTTGAAACCATTATCATTTTCCTAGCATGTCTGGTTCCTTCTGTAGAGCAATTCGAATATACACCAATGACGTAGAATTTTTGGGAAAAGGGTATTTTGAGTGTAAACAACCTTTAATAACTTCTTTTTCCCAGCTTAAATTTTAGTTTTTCTGTACCAAATTGTGCTATTTCTTCTATTTTTTCATTCAAATTATCATTTTTATCAATAAAATGATTGGAAGTTACTTAAATTAACACTTTAAGTTTTAAAATCTTGTAACGAATATCATTTTTTTGAATTTTCTTGTGTGTTTTTAGTCAACAAAAAAATTTTATTTTTTCGAAAATTGCTGAAAACATAATTAAAACGTAATTCAACTCATATTTAAAGTTACAAATTCACGAGTATTAATTAGATTTTCAGCTGATTAAAGTTTTGGTAATTTTGCTCGAAAATATGAGAAATTTTTGAATTTTATTAAACCGTTAAATTGAAATTCCTATTATTTTTGACGGGCCTCGAAAGTTATCCAGTAAATTACTAGTAAATTTCTGCTATATAGATATACTTTGTCTTTTCTTGAACTTAAAATGTTTTGTAAATTTCCAAATTCAATCTACAACTTTAAATTGCAAACTAGTTCTTCTACCTGCTTAAACACGAAATGCACAATCGACATTAAGAAGTTTTCGCATAAAAAATTGCTTATTCCTTGTTTTACTTCCACATATGAACCTCCCCTCCCTATTTGAGGGCATTAAACTTTCGATAAAAAGCTCATAAATTCAAAGAATTGAGTTTAAAATTCCTGCACCCATAGCACTCACAATTTTCCAATATATGCACCGCTATGCTTTATCATTCAACACATAAAAAATATGCACAACATATTTTAAAATAAAAAAATGAAAAAATATTTTCCACAATTACCAAGCGAGCGAAATTTATAATCATATGACTTCATATGACGGAATAATCGCGATCTAATTCCAAACATGTTCTTTCTTATTTGAATTTCTGTGAAATATAAAAAATATATTGAATGTCAATAAATTGGATATTTTGCATTTATAAAGAATTATTTTATATGACTCAACTCGTTTGTATCATCAACGGCAGTTCCATCCTTCGTGGTATGATTTTGTTAACATTTTCCAAAAAGTCAACATCACCGTTGAGATATTTGTGTCTCGTATCCATGACTGTCTTTGACACTTGAGATGATTTTTTTGAGATTCTTTTGATAGCAAAAAAAAAATCAAACTTTTCAAAAAAAAAAAAAAAATCTCGTGTTTCAATTTAAAAATAATATCAAAGGTTACTTGATGATTGTTGAAATTGAAGAGTTTTCTACACAAAATGAGGCAAACAATAATTCACATCCGCAACTAGCGAGCTCAAAAAGGAACTGTAATAGAGCATATATATTTTCACAGTCGAATAATGAATGTTGATGTATGACGAGGAGTATATGCATACACAATAAATAACAAAAGAAGAATTCGATACAGGAAAGAATTGGTTGTTTATGTATATAGTCATGTATAAATGTTTTTAGCATGGAAATTTCTTTCAATTTGACAGTGAGGTGCTGTTCTATTGGAATAATGACGTGGTTGTGCGTCTGGTCTTGTTTAATTTATATTGTAGTTCTTGGTTCTAGGTTAATACTGCTTAGTCTTTATTATTGATTGCCTTCCTAATGCTTGAATATTACACTTCTGTATGTGCTTAGTTGTATAAGTGATCATAGGCATAGGTTCAAATCGCGACAGAAAGGTGGTTTGGCTATGTTCTAGTAAAATCTTACTCATTAAATCCAGTCAGTCATTTGAAATTATGCAGTCATGCGGGAACCAAATTAATTGTTCTAGATTCCATATACATAAAAGAACCCAATTATAGTCAAAAATATTCTTACATTAAAGTAGAAGCTGGTAGAAGCAATGACAAGTGGTTTGGATTCCACTATAAACTATAAAGGTTGTGGTACAATAGATTTACAATCGAAGTGTCTTCAACTCAAAAGGCACAACCCTTCAAGCATTAAGGACTCAACAAAGATGTATCAATCCTAGAGCCCACCATTCAAATGCGCCTTATACCCCCTTCATCCTCACTTCATTCACATGCATCACTATTTGAAAGTGCTAAAAATAGAATGAGAACTTTGTCTACTTGATACAAATTTATATGAGTACAGAATGAAAGCCTAAACAAAAGTGAATGAAAAGGTATATATTGTGTGTGGTATGTAGACAGAACGTGGAAAACAAAAAGAGGAAAAGAACATATCAAGGATTATGAAACTAAAACACGTTTGGGGTATGGAAAATATTTTGTAAATATTTCCTGGAACTTGATATTGTTTAATTAACATTTGAGGATATAGTTAAGTTGAAGTGGTTAAACTGATTGATCTAAAGGTATTTGAGGATGTCGGTGAGGTGTTTGGCTCCCAGAATTGAGAAGATTTTGGTTGATTCTTGAGTTAATGAATATTTTGGCAATGTTTTGAACTTCTAGCGTCTAATAATCACTATGATTAATAAAGAAAGGAAGTTAAAGCCCTCATAATTCACAAAACATTAACTTTAACCTCCTTAAAAGTCATCAACATCAAAAGTCTATAAAAATTCACCATTTCACATCACAATCGAGTGTTTATGCCTTGAACTGGAAGCATTTTTTTTATCACATTTCAGTTGTGAATGCACATTGCATGCAATGCTCATAATCATTCTCATATACTATAATTTTTATTTCACTTCCATTACTGCATTGCACTAAAATTATTTATTTTTTTCCCTGCCTTTCCCTCTTATTTTTTTTGTGTGCATATAAAGCAGTGGAAAGTTCGCACATTCACAACTTCCCCACTTGAAAATCCTTAAAATAGTGAAGGAAAGAGTCTCGCATGACTTATAAAATGAAGAATGTTGAATGGCAGGTTTTATTGATCCTCAAAAACATTTTTTTATCATGCAATATAAAAAAAAAGCAAAAAGTATAAAATGAGAAATAAGAAGTGTTTTGCTGTCGACTGAAACTATTTTAAGTGCTTTATTTTTATAGGAAAGGCGAGAAATGTAGAACAAGTTGGATTCAATGACCTTCCAAAGTTCTTCAAGTTTCTCTTTTTTGTTCTGATCACTTTTTTGTTCTTGAAAGTTAAAAGGTAAAGTTTTGATTGGACTCAGAATGTGGTAGCGCATTTCCAATGGTAGAGAAGAGCAAGGCGATGAAGGAATTTCAGAAAATGTTATTGAATTTCAAGAGGCTAATTTTTTGATGCTTTATGATTGTGATTACATGTAGCAATGACTTTATAAGCTAATTATCAACTACATACGAAGTTAGAGATGCCGACCAGAAAACTAGTCACATCATAATCCAGCATTTTTCAAAAAACTGCTTCCCAGGGACTCTAAACTAAGAGACACAACAGACAATAAGACAGAATTCATCAACCACAACCACATTTCTCCTTTCTTTCTTGATCACCAACCACTTAAAAATCTTAAGATTCTGTGTCTTTTTTCTTGATTCTCTCTTTTTCTATCCTAGCTCTTTGCTGAATTACGCGGGATCCTTGTAATTCGTTTAAGTTGATGAATAATAAAAAAACGTTTAAAAAAACTTTTTAAAAAACACGCTTTTATCAAAAAGACTAAAAACCAAAAAGTTGAAAATAAAATAAGATCACACTTTTAGCGAATCAGGATTTTAAAATTTTCTTGTGATAACTAGAAATGTAACATAAATTTTTTCAAAATATTGTGATTAAGTCCAAGAACACAATGACTCTAAAAGCGTGGGGCGTAATTTAAGGATAATTTCTTAGTTCAGCTATGTTCTTAAGTAAGAGAACGTCAAGTCTCAAAGCCCCACGCTTTTAGAGTCATTGTGTTCTTGGACTTAATCACAATATTTTGAAAAAATTTATGTTACATTTCTAGTTATCACAAGAAAATTTTAAAATCCTGATTCGCTAAAAGTGTGATCTTATTTTATTTTCAACTTTTTGGTTTTTAGTCTTTTTGATAAAAGCGTGTTTTTTAAAAAGTTTTTTTAAACGTTTTTTTATTTGCTACCTTTTAGTCTCAATCTTTTAATCGAATTTCGACCACAACAATTCAAATTCAACTCCACTTCGTTTTACTCCGTTTCGTTCAACTGTTTATAGATTACAGTAGGTTTAAAGGTTACAGGTGTGTTGAACTTCACTTCGTTGCACTTCGTTACGTTCAACTGTTTATAGATTACAGTAGGTTTATAGGTTACAGGTGTGTTGAACTTCACTTCGTTGCACTTCGTTACGTTCAACTGTTTATAGATTACAGTAGGTTTATAGGTTACAGGTGTGTTGAACTTCACTTCGTTGCACTTCGTTACGTTCAACTGTTTATAGATTACAGTAGGTTCATAGGTTACAGGTGTGTTGAACTCCACTTCGTTGCACTTCGTTACGTTCAACTGTTTATAGATTACAGTAGGTTTATAGGTTACAGGTGTGTTGAACTTCACTTCGTTGCACTTCGTTACGTTCAACTGTTTAAAGATTACAGTGGGTTTATAGGTTACAGGTGTGTTGAACTCCACTTCGTTGCACTTCGTTACGTTCAACTATTTATAGATTACAGTAGGTTCATAGGTTACAGGTGTGTTGAACTTCACTTCGTTGCACTTCGTTACGTTCAACTGTTTATAGATTACAGTAGGTTCATAGGTTACAGGTGTGTTGAACTTCACTTCGTTGCACTTCGTTACGTTCAACTGTTTATAGATTACAGTAGGTTCATAGGTTACTGGTGTGTTGAACTCCACTTCGTTGCACTTCGTTACGTTCAACTGTTTATAGATTACAGTGGGTTCATAGGTTACTGGTGTGTTGAACTCCACTTCGTTGCACTTCGTTACGTTCAACTGTTTATAGATTACAGTAGGTTTATAGGTTACAGGTGTGTTGAACTTCACTTCGTTGCACTTCGTTACGTTCAACTGTTTAAAGATTACAGTGGGTTTATAGGTTACAGGTGTGTTGAACTCCACTTCGTTGCACTTCGTTACGTTCAACTATTTATAGATTACAGTAGGTTCATAGGTTACAGGTGTGTTGAACTTCACTTCGTTGCACTTCGTTACGTTCAACTGTTTATAGATTACAGTAGGTTTATAGGTTACAGGTGTGTTGAACTTCACTTCGTTGCACTTCGTTACGTTCAACTGTTTATAGATTACAGTAGGTTCATAGGTTACTGGTGTGTTGAACTCCACTTCGTTGCACTTCGTTACGTTCAACTGTTTATAGATTACAGTAGGTTTATAGGTTACAGGTGTGTTGAACTTCACTTCTTTGCACTTCGGTACGTTCAACTGTTTATAGATTACAGTAGGTTCATAGGTTACAGGTGTGTTGAACTCCACTCCGTTTCACTCCGTTACGTTCAACTGTTTATAAATTACCAGTTTTCAATGGGAAATTAGTAACGACTTTCAAAATTTTTTCATTAGTTTTATAAAATTTAATTTTTTTAAAGCATTCATTAGTGAAGTACATTAAAAATCACTCGTAAAGATTTTGTGTTTATCTGTACCATTTCTACTTCATAACGTGTGGATTCTTACTATAAAGATGCAAATCACATATGTAACGTATTTATAACGGATTTTCAAATTTAAATTCAATGAATATCATTTATATGTTATGCAAAAATACGTCAAGCCGTTAATAAAAAGAAAAGTCAATTTAATTAAGTTGGTGAAGTGTTATAAATAATGCAATACATTTAAAACAGCATAAATTATGCTCAAACTATGTGTGGTAAATGCACATCGCATATTAATAGTTATTTTGCATTAATTCGTGACGGACTAAAGCTTAACGGTTTTTTTGAAAATTCAAATTTTCACTTACGAATATTTATGAAAAAATTACATGTCAATTTTTTTGTCTTACCAGAATATCTTTAGCTGCTCAAATTTATGGTATAATTAATAATTAGTAATATTAATTAAACTATAATGAATCATATAAATGACTTTAGAGCATCACAAGTATAATATTTAATACAAATCAAAATTTTATATCATTGACATTGGATTTTTTCCCATATAAAAAAGTTTTACATAAATTGTACTATAATTAAGCATTTTTGTGTTTCCAAAGTCTTAAAATATTGTATTGTCACCGGGAACACGTGTGCATAAAAAATTTGAGCTCGATTGAAGAAGTAGAAGTGGTCGAAAAATCGATTGCAAGATTTGAACGTGACAAAGAAACCAACAGACAGAGCAACTCAATAAAAAGCGTGTAAAAAAGATAAAACAAAAGAAAATCTTCTTGCTGCCACTTTACTTTCTATTTCCTTATTCTTTCTTTATAAACTGATTG